GGGAGTCTGCTTCTCCCTCTGACCCTCCCCCCTCTCATGTGCTCTCTCTCTCTCTCATTCTGTCTCAAATAAATAAATAAAATCTTTAAAAAAGAAGTAAAAAAACAATACATATCTACTTAAAAGCCCAACCCAAATATAACCTCTGCTGTCATTATGGTATAATAACAAGCTTCTTCATTCAAAGTGTCAGCATTGGCACTGGTGGAATGGAATGTCTGGAAGGCTGGGAAGCCCATTTCTAATGGACTCTTGCTACATTGTTTAATGACAAATACACAGGTTAGAGAAAGTGGTTTCAGCCATAAACATAAGAGACAGTAGAATTGTTCTGTGAGCATCAGTATCAAAGTCTTGTTTTTATGATAATGGGGAACAGTGGCAATAAGGATAATTATCTAAAATACCTTGAAACAGGGGCTCCTGGTGGCTCAGTCATTAAGCATCTGCCTTCGGCTCAGGTCATGATCCCAGGATTCTGGGATCAAGCCCCTCATCGGGCTCCCTGCTCAGCAGGAAGCCTGCTTCTTCCTCTCCCACTCTCCCTGCTTGTGTTCCTGCTCTCGCTATCTCTCTCTGTCAAATAAAATAAAATAAAATAAAATACCTTGAAACAGTCAATGATTTTAAAACCTCCTGCCCACTGAATTTGTTGGTGCAATAGGAGGAAATGGACACTGGTAATCCTCTACTTGGTAATCACCATCAAATTCATAGGAGGAGGGCTAGAGCTGCCTTACTTCAAGGCTTTATCTTTTCCCACTTAAGCTGTTGGCAACCATATAGAGTTAGGGATGCACACTTTGGTGATGAAACTATCAAGATATGCAAAGAAGAAATTACTATAAAATTTGAGAGTATGATTATTAATTGTGGTATGGGAAAGGGTTAAGATTGAGGTGGGGCTTAGGAAAACTTCTGGAAAATCCAGGAGAAAAAAATACATTTCTTAACCTATGGTAGTTATAAGGGTATCTACCTTACAACAATTCTTTGCTGTAAGTTTTGAAATCAGGAGGTGTCAGTCCTTCAACTTTGTTCTTCTTTTTCAAGATGGTTTTGGCTATTTTGGGTCCCTTGCATTTTCATATAAATTTTAGGATTAGCTTTTGTCCATTTCTGCAAAGAAGCCAGTTGGGATTTTGATAGGGATTGCATTGAATCTGCAATAGAATTCTTCTAACCCATGGACATGGGATGTCTTTCCATTCATTTTGGTTTTTTTTCATTGCTTTAAACAATGTCTTATAGTTTCCCATATACAAGTCTTGCACTTCCTGTTATATTTATTCCTATATTTATTCCTCTTTTTGATGCTATAGTAAAGGAATTATTTTCCTAATTTCATTTTCAGACTTGCTCTTTGCTAGTGTATAGAATACAATTAATTTTTGTATATTGATCTTGTGTCCTGCAATCTTGATATACTCATTTACCAAGCTCTTGCTATGGTCTGAATTGTTGCATCCACCCCAAAATTCATGTTGAAATCCTAACCCCCAAGGTGATGATATTTGGAGGTGGGAATCTTTGGGATGTCCTTAAGTCATGAGGATGGAACCCTCATGAATGGGATCAGTGCCTTACAAAAGAGGCTCCAGAGAGATCTCTAGCCTCTTTCACCAGGTAAGGATACAACAAGAAATCTGGGACCCAGAAGCATGCCTTCACCTGACCATACTGGCAACCTGATCTCAGACTTCCAGTCTCCAAACTGTGAGGAATAATTGTTGTTGTTGTTGTTGTTGTTGTTGTTGTTGTTTTCCATAAACTACCTGTCTGTGGTAATTTTGTTATAATAGCCTGAATGGGACTAAGATAGCTCTAATATTTCTTTTGTGGATTCCTTAGGATTTCTACATACACAATCATATCATCTGAAAATATAAGTGATTGTAAGTAATAGAATGTAGTAACTCTTGAAATCAGGCTCTCTCCCACTCCCCAGGATTCATTGTTGTTGCTGTTTGTTGTTTCTTTGTTTAACAGTGACTTTTATGAACTAATTCAATAAAGTCTGTATTTTTTGTTGTGTGTTGCCACTGAAATCCCTGCTTGGTTAGTTTAGTGGTCAGCTGATAGCTGAACAGTGATTTCCTTAAACACTTGGAACCAATAAGTCTATCAGTCTTTGCCAAGGGGTTCTGAATAAATGTTGGGGCACACCTTCAGTACTCAGGCAGTTGACAACTGGGCCTTAGCCTTTACTTCCTGCTTATGCGGAGGCTGATGATCAGCCTGAGGTAAGAGCTTACAGTCTTCTCAGATTCTTCCTGGGCATGTAGAAAGCCCTCGGCATGTACACAGCCCTATGCATGCTTTTGGCCTTCTAGATTCCCTGTACTATGTTGGAGCTTTTCAAAGCCCAAAGAAAATCTCATTCCCCTGTGTTCAACATTTTGCTTGCCCCAACTGCTATCCTCTACTTCACGCAGCCACAAAAATAATCAATTGCCTCTGTTTTCAACAAGGCTCTTCACACTGGGCAGCTTCCAATCAGGTCAAATAAAGATAGCCTTGCAAGTGGGGGTCTCCAGGGTCTGACAGACAAGTCAAATAATGACATTTCTCTGGGTATTTGGCTCTGAAAGAATTCCAATCCCATTCTACCCCCTCCAGGGGCTGCTAGATGGCTGGTTTTCACTGTAGTTGCAGGCTGTTGGTTTTTAAGTCTTCTATAGAACTGAAGAGGGAGGATGAGAACAGGGCAAGTTACAATATCACAGTGTTTGTTGTTCTTACAGAGATTCAGCCTTTTTCTAGAATAAACGCTCCCAAACTGCTGCAAGCCCTCAGTTACTTTTCAAAGTTCTAAAATATCGGTTCTGGTTATTTTTGCCAATTTCTCGTTGATTTTATGGAGAATTTTCAGAGCTCCTCACTCCAACATTTTTGCTGATATCCTACCATGTACTCTTTGGTTTTTTAACCTAAAATGCCTTTCTATATCCATTCCCACTACCCTGTTCAGATGTTGCCTCCTAGATGTGGGTGTGGCTTTCCCGAGGACACTGTCTCCTTGCTACTTGCTGTCCTCTTTCCCCTCTAAGTCCAAGGAGGCCGTAACAAAAAGAGAGGTAGCAAAGAGGCTTTAAATGCTTTACAGCTAGGGCTCCTGATGACGCCAACTACAACCTCGGGGTGATTGTAGTCATTAAATGTGAATAATCAAGAGTTGGACCTATTTTTAGAGTGCTGTGCTCTGTCCTTAAAAGAATAACTGATAAAGTTGAGAATATCACAGTTTTGCCTAGTGCTTAAGGGTACACGTGTTGCAGTGAAACCACGTAAGTTCACCACCTCCTAGCAGGGATAATAATGGCATATATACAATCTATGAAGATTGTGGGGAACAATTCAAATAAAATCCTTAGCACAGAGTCTGGCCTAAGCACTCCATACACAGTTGCTGGGATTTTCATCACCACGGTCAGAGCCCCAATGCCTCGTAGAAATCCCGTATCATGTGTCCAAGTAGGAAGGGACCTCAGAAATCTGCCAATTCAACTGCAAATCCAGGACAGTAACTCGCTTTACCTCACATCCCTATTAAATGAGGTCCAGCATGTGTTTTCATACTTATAAGCACAGGGAGTTCACCATCTCAAAGGCAGCTCATTGTGCTGATGAATCACCCTCATTGTTTTCTTCCTTCTGTGAGCCCCAAGTCTTTCTTCCGTTTTTCCCTTGAACACTTCAAAATTGAGCTATTATCATTTTTGCATGACAACTCTTCCATTACTGAAGGGTTGGCAAAACGCTTTCCAGCTCTTCTTTCTAGCTCCGGGAAAGAGGCTGGTACTTTCCATCGCCCACCAACTTCCCCTCCACCTCTAGCTGCCACTGCCTGAGGTGTCCTACTAAAACCTTAAAGGCCGGGCGCCTGGGTGGCTCAGTCGTTAAGCGTCTGCCTTCGGCTCAGGTCATGATCCCAGGGTCCTGGGATCGAGTCCCACATCGGGCTCCCTGCTCGGCGGGAAGCCTGCTTCTCCCTCTCCCACTCCCCCTGCTTGTGTTCCCTCTCTCGCTCTCTCTCTCTCTCTGTCAAATAAATAAATAAAATATTTTCAAAAAAAAAATAAAAAATAAAAAAAAAATAAAACCTTAAAGGCCTAGTTGGAAGAAATAAGTTCCCTTTGAGATACAAGAGATCTATCTCTTTTCTACCTCCCTTCCCATGACAAGTGAATCCCTGTTCTGTGAACACAACCAGTTAAACACACACATGCATACACACACACGGAGAGAGAAGAGTTGCAATTTATTGGTTGCTCTTTGGGGAAGATGATACAGAACATAATTGGGATTAAAATCAAATTCTAGTTACAGATTCATAAAACTTTGCTTTAAACCAAATTAACTTTTGTGAGACTATTAAATCGCCTCTCATCCTCATACATAACAAAGTAACTCAGTCATAGTCTATATAATCCTCTGTTGGTTTTCAATGATTAAAGCACACATAATACATAATGCAGTTGATATTAAATATCCTGAGAATGACAAATCAATAGAACTCCTTCCACTCTTAAGCATTAACTGGTCATTTAGACATGTTCTGTACATATACTTTTCATTTTAGATTTTCTCCTTAAAAGGACTTGTGAACTATTCATTATTATCTGCTATTTGTATACACACGTCATAAGTCTTCCAAAATAACATTTAAAATATCTCTTCATATTGCTTCAGAAATGTTAACCTTTAAGGAACATTTGATTAAAAAAAAGCAAAAGCTCAGATCCTGCCTCTTGTAACACATGTTCAGATGTGTCGAGATTTTATTATCTCCCTCTGACCTGATAAAAGCCTCCAACAACATACAATGTGCCACTTTCTTCTTTGCTCAACTCAGAGGAAGTCAAATAAAGGAGAAAAAACAAATGCTCAAAATCACAGTGACCAAAGGATTTGAATTAATAATTACATTAAATAACCATAACTTTTTGTTTAACTATTCACATTCCACACAGTGGAAATCATCGTTTCCTCCAGATTTTTCACTTACATTTTTAACTTTGAAGAACCACAATAACAAAAAAACAACTTACAGACTTGTAGGATGTGTGTTTTTCTCTTTTAATGCCAAGCACAAAGTGTACATCATAAAATTCATATCTGGTGTTTGGCATTATTTTAACAGGAAAAATTGAGATCACAAATATCTTGCCATAAAAAAATTCTACTATAGTAATGAAAAAAACAACTTCTTCATCTGTGACTCCAATACAACATGTAATAGACATGGCACTTTCAATAAATGTTGGAAGACACACCATACTTTGCTAGTCTTAATTTAGGCAAAGTAAGAAAAGCAGACATTTCCCTCTTTGGTTAGCGCTGGTTTTTTGTTTGTTTGTTTGTTTTTCAGGGTAGTTAGGCTGTTGATTATCCCAGTGAAGTTAATTTTGAGGAAATTCTCTTTACTTAAGCCAAATCCGACTTACATGCAAGATTGTGGTACAAGCTACTAAAAGAAGATTACTGCTGCCAACTTAAGTCATCTCTTTTTAACAAAACTGCATGCTTGTGGCAGAGTTAAAACAACAAGAGAAATTCAGTGTCTGCTGGTTCTAAATGTCATTTTTCCTCTTCTAGTGTGGTTTTACATGTTCAGCTCCTTCCCCTTTCTTTTCCTCTCCCCCACCCTCAAAATTCTGGCTTAGTATTTGTGTGCTTAATTAAATCCATTCTGTGCTTTATTGTTGGAGGATGTGGATGATAGAAAGATTTAAGGCAGGGGCATACAGTGTACACGAAATACACGGACTGTGTGTTCGGACAAATTTGTCTCGTGTGGAATCATCAGTAGTGAGTTCAAAAGTTTCAAAACTCGACCCAATATTTTGGGTGTTCAAGATAACTTCTGCCTCAAAGCACGGTTCTGGCTTAGCTGTTAGATGGGAGAGCGCTGCACCAAAAAAAAAAAAAAAAAAAATACAATAAAAGCAGCCTCTTTAGTGCAATGCTGGCGCCTGGATGGGCAACTAAAATGCTAGTCGATGGTTCTTGTTTCCCATATCACACGTGACTTGGCTAACAAGGATGAGAAGGTACAAGGCAAAAAAAAAAAAGTGTTTGGGGGGTGGGGATGGGTTTACATAGAAAACCTCAGGCTTGAAGAGAACAGGTGAGCCAAATCCAAAATACAGTAAGGTCCACCTGCCCTGCACTTTGGCCATTAGATAAATCCTAAGCAGGGATGGGAAGGAGCCCGAGTTTAATCAGAGGAGGGGTCTACCAGTAGGTTCTGAACAATTACAATGTTACCGGAATCCCACCACCAGTAGAGAGACAGCTAATGCACCCAAATGTCTGGATTTTTTTTTTCCCCAAATGCTCTGATTTCTTAACTGGGATTTCTCATTAGACCCTGAGAAGGCGAAGGAAGAAGGGGAGGACACATCCTTTATACCTCCTCCCAGGCATTAAACTACTCCTTAGCCAGAGGCAATCACCTTTCTTTCGTTCTTCTCCTCTGCTCCCCACCTCAGTCTCCTACCAACAGCTAAAACAAAAGGACCCACAATATACTTCTAGCTCAAATAAAGCAGTCCCTCAACTCCCCCATCTTAGCCTGGTTCTTCACTGCCAGGGACACTCAGCAGAGGCAGAATCTTTATAGTAAGGGTTGTGGCTCTCAGAAGCATTACACAGAAATAATGAACTGGGAAAGAGGGGATTACAACCAAGCAAAAGGAAAGATATGAGGACCTTCTGCTTATGAGGTGTTTGTTTACTTCCTATCCCTGCATAGAGTGCTCTGAACTACATCTATTTTCTGTCTGAGGGGCGAAGTGGGGGGTGAGGGTCGTCTTGGTTTTGCTCACTCACGGGGTTCTGAAAATAGGAGTGGTCAATGTTTATGTTTTAAGTTTGGTGTCGGGTTACAGCCAATTTCAGCAGATCACAGTGACAGCCAAAGTTAGTGATTTTTTGGCAATTTCATTTCTCCTCTGTTCACTTGGTTTTGGTTAAATACCAGGGAAAAACTCGCTGAAGCATGGGTCGCACTGTGTTTGGGGGTTGGCCTTCAAGACTCTACAGGTCTCCCTACGGAACTTGTGCTGTGCCCAACTGGTCCTCCCCCTCCGTCCCTCCCTCCATCCCCTCCTGTGTCCTTCTTGCCCTTTGCGCGCCCACGAGGCTCCCGAAGTCGGGAGACCCTTCCCAAAATAAGAAACAAGTCACGTCTATGGTCAAGTGAGCTAATTTCGAGTCCCTGGCAGAGAGGGAATTAGACCGAAATAGTCACTGAGATCCTAAGAAGGGATGGGCTGTGGAAGAGAGGAAGAGGAGGGGAAGAAGCAAGCACAGGTGGAAATACCCTTTCCAAGTAGAATGCAGCACTAAAACAAGGTCTCTTGCGCTCAGAGTAGCCTCTTGCGTTAACATTCATTCAGAAGGGAGAGTCTGGTCCCCAGAAGGGCACATGGAATACACCGCAGAACCTGACCGCAGCCCTGCCCCTTTTCACGTGCCTCCCCCCGCCCCCCCCCCCCGGGTGTGGGCCTTCTGTGCCAGCCCCATGGAAGCGGATACGTTTGCATAATAGGAAGTACCCTCCTCTGGCGTCTGCAAGCCCCCAGACACCCATTCACACTCATGCACACAAACTACGCGCTAGCAGGCTCCTGTCAGAAGGCAGCTGGCCGTTCTTCTTGCCTGTAGGTTGAAGCCAAGTAAGAATCAGGTCGTTTTAGGTCTGGCTCTGGGCCCGCCCGGGGCTGCATCCCTAGGACAGGCTGGGTGTGCTCAGCTTAATCCAAATCGATGGATATGCATCGACACTGCTTGACTCGTGTGACCCTCTTCTTCTTGGTGGGCGGCTGCAGTTCGGGGCAGTTGAGTGTGACCATCATGGTGGTGAACTTCTTGGGCTTGCAGAAGGAGCAGGACTGAAAGGAGCCTTCCTCCTTCCGGATGTGCCTGGGGATGTAGAAGGAGTTGCACTGGCCGTAGCAGAAGCGGTTGATGATGGTGCGGCTGTTGCAGCCCTCCTCGTGGATGGTCTGCTTCAGCGGCTGGGTTTTGCACCAGTCTCGCTTCAGGTATTTGCGCTCGGTCACGTGCAGGGCCTCCTGGCTGGACTCCAGCACCTCCTCCCCGGGCATGGCGGTGCCACGCCCTTGGCCACGCCCCCGGTTCCTGGAGCCCGGCTGCTGGGGAGACTGCGTCTGCTCCGAGTCATTGTGCTGGGCCTTGTCTGGTGGGGGGATGGCACCTTGGGAGCCCTTCTTTTTCCCTTCGGCGGTGGGCAGCAGGGTCCCCAAGAGGAGAAGCAGGGCTCCCACAGTGTAGGCGGTGCGGCTCATGCTATGGGAGGGAAGCACAGAGAGGGGAGACACAGAAGACGGACAAGTCAATTCAAAAATTAATAGCAGCTAACATTTTATCAGGCACTTGTTAAACACTCTGTGTGAGATATTTCATTTCCTTCTCACAGTATCTCTATGAATCAGGTGTTATTATTCTCATATCCCGGCCCCCCCCCATCGTCAAGCCACGAAGTACCTTGCCCAGGGTCACCTGCGAATAAACCAAGGTCTGAACTCGGCCAGGCCCTATCTCTTCATGGCATGTCCTCCCACCGGAATTCCTTCCTGGCTGCTGACACCAATCACATCTGAAGTTGTCTTATGGTCACTTAATTGTATTCGTTCTTGTATTAGGCCCAATTACCTTTGCGCCTCTCTGGGGAAACCCAGTTTTCTATTTAGTTCTACAGCAAGACAAATCGGCTTCACTGTCCAGGCTTCATCTGCCAGGAAAGGCTCCCAGTCTCTTTTTCTCCCCAACTGGCCTGAGCGCTTCCTGAGTTGTGCCTTGTTCGGTTGGTTGGATGATTAGGAGATGTTCGCTGATAGTGTGCATTGCAAGGAAACCTCTGGAGGACACGGGCAAGCAGCCGAGGGAGGGAGAGCACTTAGCAGGAGCAGCACTGGATGCAAAATCAAGACTGAGTTTCCAGTCCAAGTCTTGGGGCAATAACTTGCTATCTGACCTTGAGAAAATCACTTTGCTTCTCAAGAAATGACTTCATGTAAGCCCGGGTACAAAGACCTTATCTCCCCAGATAGGCTGTTCAGATCAAATTTGAGGTACAAAGGAAAGCAATTTTAGAACTAACCAAATCTATGGCAGGATTGCAGACAGAATGAGTTACCTTTCCAGAAAGATCACATTAACTCCTAAGACTCCTGGACCTCTCACCTGTTCTCATTTCTAAATGGGCATAGCTATTTTTTATATCATTCATGATACCGTGATATACATTTTTCTACTTTTAAATGGTGAAACAGGTCATTCACCGATGTGTGTGTATCTGTGTATGTAACATCTAGGAGGTAGAAAATGGCACAGGAAAACAGGTATGTGCAAATATTTACACTAATAAATGCCATGGACATGTAGAATAAATTAGTGATAGTGAATTATTGTGGATGGGCCTGGAGTTAGACATGGGTCAGAAAGGCAATGAACAATGGCGAAAAAAATTAGGTAAGTGGGGAGGCAGAGGGAAAACTAACAAAACAAACAGGAAAGCAAAGATGGAAAGAGAGAGAAAAATGGAGTGAGGAATGTAAATCAGAGAAAGGAGGGCTCATCTAGAGGCAGAGTGTTAAGGGAACGTAGAGAGGACAGAGGAGGAAGAGGAGAAGCCGGAGCATATTTTTGAAGAGTGCAAGCATCACGCTATTGAGATTCTCCTGACACAGTGCCTCTCAAACCTCAATGAGCAGATGATCATCTGGGGGCATTGTTAAAATGCAGATTCTAATTCAGTAGGTCTGCCTTTCTAACAAGCTTTGAGTAACAAGGCCTATAGCACTTGCAACCCTGGGGCACAGAAAAGAGTTATTAAAATGTGGAAGGATTTTCTTTTCAAAGAGTGCAATTGCAAACGCACAGCCTCCCTCTCAGGCCATCTTACCAAATCTGACCTGAATCTTGAGGCTTCCCCTATCCCCAGGCCCCTGGTTCTGAACCCATGCCCACCATGGTTCTGAACCTAAGGCACCGCTGGGAATTACCCATTTCCCTCCTCTCTTTTGTATGCCAGCATTACATATAATGTACAATTTAATAGTAACCTCATCACGTCCCCCCAAGGAACTATACAAGTTGGCATGATCCGCTAAAGCAATTACCTTTCAAAGACAGAGGCCCTGTGGAATCTACACTCTCTAAGCGACAGTCCCTGTAAGTAAAGACTATGCAACCCTAAGGATAATGTCAAATTAAGATAATTAAATATTAAATTTAAAATATCCTTAAATGGCACCATTTTTCCAACATTAACCTAATACTTTGGGGCAAGTTCAAGTTTGGAACTGATAATGTGACATTTAGCTCCTGTTCTTTGGACTGTAGACTCCCTGGCTTTTGTCAGTTTATGTTACAACATCCCTGTTCTTTAAACAGAGCCTTTTTTGCCTCAACAACAAAAAAATTAATTTCCTTGTTTTGTCTTTTAAAAAAATCACTCATGAGAAAAGTCCAGTTATAAAACAGGGCTGATTTTCTCCAGAGACCAGGATAACTTGAGCCATGACAGTTCAGTCTTCTAGGCAAATATATTGTGAATTTGAGAAACTTTTACAAATTTCTGCTATTTATTCAATTGGGGGCCAGGATCTAAACTAAAATTCAGTCTCTGCCCATTTCAAAGAGGAGCATGAGACAGCCAGCTGTAGGCCTACACCCAGTCTTCCCTCCTCCCTACTGAAAATGGCCCCAAGGACAATTCAGCCCTCCCAGAGCAAGACCCTCTGAGTCCAACATCACAGAGGCTAATCTGAACCTGACTGGGGAAGTACACTGTGTGCATAGGACAGTTCATGTCATAAAGCCATCCCCTCCCACAAACATCTGTCCAAAAAATGGCAATTTCCTTTCTCCAGACCAACATGGGACTCTTTTTATGCTCAACTTTTCCTTCCTGGCATTTTCACATCTGTCATTAAATAAATACCTAGTCTGAGAGTCATGAGGACTTATTCATCACCTTATCCTCAGTGCCTGGCACAGAATAGGTGCTCTTCTGTTAAATGAATGCTTGTTATGGACCACACTGATTTACAGAGGCTCCGTTTTCGTTTTTAAAATGCCTTCACATGTGCCAATGAGCAGCCGAGCCTAACATAATCTTCTTTTTTTTTTTAAGATTTTATTTATTTATGTCAGAGAGAGAGCACAAGAAAGGGGAGAAGCAGACTCCCCACTGAGCAGGGAGCCCGATGCGAGGCTCCGTCCCAGGACCCCGGGGATCATGACCCCAGCCAAAGGCAGACGCTTAACTGACTGAGCCACCCAGGCAACCCCTAACACAATCGTCTTAATTTCTGACTTACAGTATAGCAAACTCTTAGCCTAGAAGTACCTTAATATTTGTCTTTCTTTTTCTAGGAAAACTTCAGATAGCCACTATTTTTTACCTGGTCCCATGCAGAATGCTGTGGGTTTCATTTTCTAATTGAAGCCATTGTATTCACTATGGCAGAAACCAACAATAAAGCAAGCAGTAAATTCAAAATTAGTCAACTGTGGTTTTCAGTTTTAATTTGGACAGACTTCCTGTTCCTATGGGAGCGTGCGAACCCTGTAAGCCCAAGGGGTCTGGAATGACAGGCTGTTTTCTTATTTTTTGGTTTTTTAAGAAAAGTAAATTTTTCTCAAAATAAGGTTTATTAGGTGTGGAAAATGTTTTAAAATGGTTTTTCATTTTTTAGAAAAGCCTACTTTTTAAGATCTTTAGTGCTTATTGTGAGGCTTTTGACTCTTTAAAACTTGTAACTAGTTATTTGGAGAAAAGTAAAAACCAACTTAAGGAATCTCAACACAGAGCTCAGCTTAAAGAACAGTGGTACTCTGAAGGGCTCTGCATATTCCACATGAGTAAGAGTTAGAAGGTTGAGAACTCTAATAGTTCTAGAACCAGGGCTCTGTCAAGTCATTGTGGTCACCCAACCTCCCCCCGCGCACACACACCACAGACTGGTCATGATTACTCAGTGAAGAAAAAGGGACTGTTTTGTTCTTGAAATCCCAATTGTATTGGCACCAAATAATTTGCACTTTGTAAATATCACAAGCGTGCAGGAAATCATGAAGATGTAAATTTCTTGAGACAATTCTTTTCCATATCAGCACCTCACAGAATGCCCCATTATCAAAAATCAATCCAAATCTTAATCAAACCTCAGGTTCCTATGAATTATCCCTCATGCCCAACCATGAGCTGCAAACATTTTTGGTCATTTGCATTCATGAAATGACCCACTCACATCATTGAAGATGAGCTGCATTTTGTGGGTCCAGAGTGCATCAGGACACCCAAAAAAGACCTCCCTTTACACTCATTGCAGACAACATTCTTCTTTTCAAAATTTGCCTCAACTTCTCCTTAATGCATTTCTGCTTCTCCAAGTAATGTGGTATTTTCGTGGTGAGCTTTCTCTGCAATTGCTCTCCATCAGCAAGACCCACCCACCCCTACCTTTTTTCCCTTTACTACTGTCCTCCCCCCAATCCACTTGTCCCAGAGCACATAGATACTCTCAAAGCAGTTCTTCTCTACCTGATGCTTTCCTCTACCTGATGGTTTCCCATAGTGATCAAGAGATATAGCTTATCCCGCACCTCTGTCCTGTGTAGGTCATGGTGATTTATTCCAATCTTCACAAGGCTCTACGAACATAATCATCTAACTCGAGGGAATCAGAAATAAAAATGCTCTGTGTGACCTGTATCCAATATTCTCAATGTCTTTGGGCAAGTTTAGGTCAGCTCCTTTTGGCACTCTTCTTGCTGTATTTCTCATTTTAGCTAACCAACCTGCTTATAATCAGTTTAATGGAGTGCTGAGTGGGAATTACGGTGAATTGACAATGGTCAGCAAGCCAGATGTCTATGCTTGAACATCTGATTGACTCCTCCTGATGAATTAAGTTTTAGAAAGACGTTCAACAGGCATGACATCAAATTATTCTCCCAGTAGAAGAAAATAATTAAAGTGACAGCAAATGCTCTAAATGCAGGCCAGATTTTAGAATAATCTCCTCCTTTTTCTCAGAACGAAATCTTTGAGAAGAGAAAGGTTATTTTTAACTTGATCTTGAATTTTTAAAAAGATAGCTTTTATTTTTTTTTTTTTTAAAGATTTTATTTGACAGAGAGAGAGATAGCAAGAGCAGGAACACAAGCAAGGGGAGTGGGAGAGGGAGAAGCAGGCTTCCTGCCGAGCAAGGAGCCCGATGCGGGGCTCGATCCCAGGACTCTGGGATCATGACCTGAGCCGAAGGCAGACGCTTAACGACTGAGCCACCAAAAAGATAACTTTTAGAAGTTAAGTAGAGAATTTCATAAGAATATACTGGGTCGATTTTTTTTTTCCAGACAAGTTGAACCAAGAAGATAAGAAGAATTACTTGCTGGCAAACTAGTAGAGGATAAAGTCTCATCCTGTATGAGTTGCAAGACCCTAACTACAGCCACCTTATTCAGAAGACCATTCAAGCTAAATCTGGCTGGCCTCCCACATCGCATAGTACAGAAAGGAAACCACCAGGTAGTTAAGTATCTCAGGCGCTCTATGCTCACTGGAAGATTTTTTGCTGAAGTGAATGATCGTATACAATTTTCGAGGTCAACAGGAAACAAGTTAGAAAGTCATAAATATTCACTGAGCAGTGCTACTGAGAGTCAATCTATAGGTTCTATATTGTGATGCAAGATGTGTGCTAGTCTGAATCTGGGATTTAATTTCAGAACCACCTTGTAATATATCTGGTGCTGTATAATGTTACTGCCTCTTCCAATACCACCACCAATAATCAGAGTTATCTATATTTTTGAACCCTTAGCATGCATGGCATTGTGCATAAATCAGACCGTATTTTATCATTTCTTTTTCACGATAGAACATGCGGTAGATAATATTGTCTTCCTTTTATCGATCAGGGAATCCAGAATCAGAAAAGTTAGGAATCTGCCCAAGGTCAAACAGCTCCTCAGTTGGAGAGTCAGGGCTGGAGACCCATTCTACCTAGCCCCCAAACGTGTCTTTAACCACTGTTCTATGGACACCCGGCACAGTACTTAATAAGGGATGCGTGGACTTGTTTCTAATGCAATACAGTTTGAAGAATATTGTAAGTCAAATAATTATCTAGTTTGTATCTTGATGTTCACATGTGGAAAAAAAAAAAAAAACTTCTGTTGTCCCAGGAATTACTGTTGTACTTTGCATTTCTAAGAGCATATGTTAAAACTAAAGAAAATTCCTTGCAGATGTAAGGCATGGGCTGGTAACACTTGCCTGATCTGTGCCTTTCAGTTGGATGCTACAGTTACCTCCCCAACACCACCCCCCCTCCCCATACTTTTCTTTACATAAAAGCGTTAGGTTTTCCCACCAGTCCTTAACTCTCTCTTCTAGGACATGCTCCACAGCTTCACTGTTGACAAGCATTTCTTTGGAAAGGGGTCTGTGGCATAAAATTTCTTGGCCTTATTTCACTTGTGACACTTAAACATTAAGACCGAGGGCTTCAGTTTAGAAGACAAGGCAGGCAGCTCTGATTCAAAGATGTGAGGACACAGTAGGTTTCTACTCTTCTCTGTCTAATCATTCCCATAAAGACTGTGTCAGCCAGCTAGGATTTCCTATAGATGGTGGGTTACCAAAACATTTCACTCAAAATGGACTTTTAAGAAACTAGGAAACCTGTAAAATTACTAAGTTTACAAAAGACTTTAATTCCTACAATGACCTGAGGGTTAAATACACACACACAGAGCAACTGTGGTTCTAAAGAACGCTTCAATAATTAGTTAATACTACAATTGGAGAGTGCAATTTATCCAGTGATAGCAATGAAATCACCTACTGTTGTAGACTTGCGTGGGCCAGGGAGATGAGACCGTAGTTTTCTTAAGATCTTTCCCTTGTTGCTTTGAAATGCCCATCTCTTCAAGGCCCCTAGGCCCCCCTTCCAAAAAAAGAAAAAAGAAAGGAAAGGAAAAGAAAAAAGTAAAGAAAAGAAAGGAAGGGGTCGGGGCTGAAAAGCCCTGGGGTGAAAGAAGACTCCTCACCCTGGGATCGGGGTTATCTTAACCTCTTCTCTGCTATTTATTTAAGTTGTGTGTACAGCCAAAAGGAAGCCACCACTCTGGGGTCCTTGGGACAGCTTAAATCCCCGTGACCCACTTAACAATAGATTGTTTTAATCAACTCGTGTCCTGGCACCATCTCGAAGGGGAACATAAACAGACGCGCACACCGCTCGGATCTGCTTTTTCCAGCGGGAGATCCAATTACCTACCAGTGGTCGGCTCTCTGCCCTTGTATCATTTAAGGAGAGATTTTAACCCCTAACGTCGAGGCTTTATTTCTGTGTAAAAGTGCTGCGATTCTAAGTCGACAGAGGAGGAGAAGGCGGCAGCCGGATTCAACCCGGGGACCCATTCGGGCCATCTCCGGGAGCGCGGGAAGGGCTTCACGGCAGAGGCCCGGTCACCGCCTGTCTGCCCCCCGCCTCGCCCGGGGACTGTCGCCAGAGCCCCCCGCGGGGAAACACCAAGGCGGAGCTGGGATCCGAAGGCAATGCCAAGCCAGAGCAGTGGCGCGTCCGTTCTTATCGCTCCGGCCGGCAAGGTGACAGCCCCTCCGACCCCGGGCCTGGCGACGGGGTCAGCGAGACGGAGAGAGAGAACTGGGGACGACCGGGGCGTCTGAGCCGCCAGTCCCGCGTCGTTCGTCGCTAGCGAGACTCAGCGAGGGGGGCGGGGGCCTCTAGGACACAAATTAAGGAGTACCGGGGAAACGGAACCCGGCGGCTTGGCGCTGCCTGGCCCCCGGCCGTCAGCACTTCAGCGGAGGCGCGCGTGGGGCGGGGAGAAGCCCAGAAGCCTGCACTGAGCGCCCACGCGTGCGCAGCCAGCCGGCGGATGTGTGCGGTGTTTGGGGTGTGCGCACTGCAGCCGCCCCGACCGCGCACCGCCCTTCAGCTGACCCGTTACCCGACGCTCCGGTTTCCACCGCGGCCGAGCTCCGCGGCTCTGTTCTAGCCCGAGTCTCCATCTCACCTTGAGGGCGAGCCAGTGGACCCACGGCTCATTCTCCGGACCCTCCAGCCCACCGCAGGATCACTCTTGCGACTCCGACGGGAGCCCCCGGCCGTCCCGAGCCCCAGCGCCCCGCTTCAGACACGTGGCACCCCCTCAGTGCGGCTTGCTGCTCCCCACCGCTCCCGCGACGCGCCCACCGGGACTCCGCGCCTCTGAGCTGCCGGCGCGGCTGGCACACGCACCAGGAGCGCGTTAGCTGGGCTCCCGGGGGTGGAAATGGGATGCGGGGCAGTGGCTCTCGCTCTTGACATCCTCCTTCCCAGGCTTTCCCTGCGGACCGCGCAAGGTGAGGTTACGGCAGCCAAGACCTTGGCGGGAAGGACCCTGGATTTTTCTGCGTAATTCACCCTAGGGAACCGGGGCCTCGATCTGCGCGCCTGGAGGGCTACCGCGCGTCTGCACCGAGCGGGACGCGGGAGTCTTTTGCAGGGGAGCCCCTGCGCGCGCTCTCGCTCTCTCTCTCTCTCTCTCTCTCATTCCCTCACTCACTCTGACGGGAGCCTCTGCACTCACCTGTCAGTGCGGCGGGTCTTCGGGGCTTGCGCTCTCGACACCGGGCGCGGTGTGCGACCGCGGCCCGAGCCGCCCCGGCTTGGCGCGGGGTCAGCCGGACAGAGAGCACGGCTCTCGCTGCACACTGGGTCGCCCGGTCCGCGGAGGGCGCACCGAGTGCGGGGCATCGCGCCGTCTCCCGTTTAAATGCCGGCAGCCGAGCCGGACGCCCGGGGCCGCGCCTCTCCATTGGCCAGGCGCCGCCGCCGCCGCCGGACCCGCTATCCGCCCCCTTTCCCGGTACTGCCCCCGCCCTCCGCACCCCTCCTGCCTCCCCGCGGGGTCCCCTCTCCGCCTGCCTCGCCTCTTTGTCTGCTCCCCCCGCCCAGGCCGGCTGGGAGAGGTCACCCCAGGGAACCGCGCCTGGAATGCACAGCAAATCACATTTTCCGCTCCCGTTGGAGGGGGAAGCGCGGGAGGAAATCCCCCCGGCTCCCGGCCCCTCATTCCTCCTCCGCCCCAGGCCTGGGCTTTTCCTCTCACCGGCCCCGCTTCGCCTCCGTTGGCCCCGCAACGCGCTCGGTCGCAGAGGCTGCCCTGTAAAGAGCAAGATCTCCGTGGGATCTCGACAGACGAGGCGATTCTTGCCCGATGGCGGGAGCGGGACTGCAGGATGCTCTCGTTGGGCGGTGGTCGCCGCGGCTTTGGCGCGGCTCGGCCCGAGGCCCCCAACTTCGAGGGCGCTGACCCCCGCGCCCCCGTTAACCCCGGCGGGCTCGCCGGCCGCCAGCAGGAGCCTGTCTCCAACACGACACCCTCCTCTCCTCGCCCGCCTCCGGTTCTTTCAGCTCAGATGCTGACGGCCTCGGCCGAGAGTGTACGGAAGGGAGTAACGGAGGGGAGAATAAACCTAAAAGGACCCTCACAAGTCCAGGTTTCCATTTCTAAGCCATCTTTAAACGGGAGAGAACAATAGCTATGAGCGAGGAGGCTTTCCGTAGCATGTTCAAGATGAATAAATCAGGAAAATAAAACGTCAGGCGAGGAAGTAACTTCCCAGAAATAGAAGACAAAAACCCCCCGTTTGTGAAAAGCCGGCGTCACATTCTGTATTTATCACCGAGAACCCAATGGATAGTGGTGAACATACTAAGCGCATAAATATTTTTCGAAAGATGAGCGAACACTTTCATTTGTTCTCTTAGCTCGAAAATGGGTTCCTCAAAGAAGCCGTAAATTCTGTGTGTCGAAGTTATAGCCCGTGCAAAAATCAAGCCGGCTGCAAGGTCTGCAGACCGGCTCTACCAGCCAGGTCAGATGATGACTTGGTGGGCGGGGG